GACAATTTTGGAGAAACTATGATCTTGAAAAAGTGGCTTATATATTTAAAATATATTAAATAAAATTGAAGTGTACCATCTGCTAGATACAATAGAGTTGCAATATTCTCGAGATACAAGCTACAATCTTTTAAGAGCAAAATTAAAAAGCCCCAAACTGATTGAATTTGCACAGCTCCCAGTTATTCTATTTTACCCTCACTGAAAAGAACTAGACACTACATAAATTAAATATATTGAAATAATATACTGGAACTTCATCCTACTAAATTTTAGATATAAATTATTTTCTATTTAGGACCTTTGAGTAGCTGCATGGAAGCTGTTTTCCGTTGTATTATAATACTTGATAAAAAACCATGATGATGTAATCTTAGGAACGTTGCTTATCTCATTTCTGATATAACTTCAAATATAGCTTATTAATTTGCATGAGAAATAAGTATTTCCCATGAGACTGCCTAAACTTAAATGAAAACTACCTGTGGAATATTTATGACTTGAAATTGTCAATCTAGAAATAAGGATAAATTTTCTGACAGTGAGAACAATCAACCAATGGAACAGCTTGCCTTTGGAAGTTGTGGGGGCTTCATCACTTGGGACTTTCAAGAAGAGATTGGACTGCCATTTGTCAGAAATGTGTATGGTCTCCTGCTTGGGCGGGGGGTTGGACTAGATGACCTACAAGATCCCTTCCAACTCTGTTAATCTGCAAATGCTTACTGGTATAATTATTTTGGAAAAGAGAATATAAAATCATACACACGCACATTCACACTGAAAGAACCCTAGATAATATATTCTTAACTCATGAGTATCTTAATTCATGAATAGAGATATTTGAAATTTAATGTATATTGTGATGAAAAATTTAAAAAAAACTTCCCGGGGACAATATTTTGTTTATTTTTTAAAATACTATTGTATCCAGCTGGAATAAAAATAACTTAAGATTTCTGAGAACTTTTAAGAGCTGAATTTCTTATACATATGCAGTTATTTCAGAACAATTAAATTGATTTTCTAGCTCTCAGTTATGTTTGCAATACCTACATACACCCAAGATTTGTTCCAAAGGGTTGGTAGAAGAGACAAAGTAAAATACCATTGGTGAAGTTATTCATTACAGTACCTATATACGATTTGAAATTGGCATAATACAAGCTTCTGAATTATAGAATATCTCTGTTCGTCAAGAAGGCATAAACAAATCCAAAAATGTTTTGTGTCCTAGTTTTAAAAGAAAAGTACAGTATTCATGTTTCACTAGCCATATAAATCTAAGTTTCAAGATGACTTCCCTAATCATCCTCCCTTTCTCAGACACATACACACACAGAGTAAGTTCAGTATTATTTCAAATGCATGGAATTGAAAATTGTCAACTGAAGACCTGAATAATGTTTAAGCAATTTCTGTCTTAGATATTTGGTATATATTCAAAAAATCTTTTCACTGATAGTATATAAGCAAAATGTTCCTAAGTTAATATTTTATTTATTCCTTTTTTCCTTTCTTTTAGGCTGGTACTATGATAGTAGTTGGCCTGACAATAGCTGCAGCTGGTTATGCAGGTTTGTTCTTGGAAAACTTGCTTTACTTCTGTTTGTGTTAAATATGTACCCTATAATGAACAGTAGTATTACAGTCTAGTGTTTAGAAGCATAGGCATCTGTCTACAAGACTATGTTGGATGGTTTAATAAACAGAAAGACAGTGTTCTTGTAGATGGTTTCAGTGGCAGATTTGTTTGCCAAATATTGCTAATTATTTGATACATTTAATTTCATATCACATTTGTTATTGTGATGCCGGATTTGATGCTTTTAAGTTTAAAATAGATATCATAAATGTAGGCTCACATATCGTGGAAAACATTGACTTGCTAACCATAGTTTATTGACTGACTCAACATTTGTTAAGCATGGTTCACATAGCCATACTACATTACGGCTTAATGTAATTTGTAAATTGGCTCTGTATGACAATCTGTTTGAATTGCCCCTGTATTATTGGACATAATTCTGCCTATGGCTTGCACATGGAAATTTGGAGTTTGGACCAAAATGATTTAAAATATAGTTAACACCTTCACCAGGGTGAGAGATATCAACTAAGTGCTCTAGTTTAGGGAATTACTTAAATGACAGGAATTATTCAACACGGCCTTCAATTTATTACATCTACAATAAATTGTCAAGCTTCAAAAGAGAGGATGAATCCTCAGGTCCACTACCTTGTGCTTGTATTCTATATGAAAAGATGGTATACTCTCAGAATTTATCACATCAGAGGAAGCTGATCCCCGGGTTATGGGGCTTTCCATTCTTTGGGGTAGTCATACTTGGAATGCTGACAAAGTACCATAAGGTTATTGCAAAATGACCATTATGAAGGGGACAGTCCACTTATAAAGTGTCTACCATGAAAGCTATGGACAATGACAAAACTTGATAATGCTAAAAGCATTAGTAACGTTAGTGAAATTTCACTCATCCCACTGACTTTTGTCTCTCTTTCAAGATAACTTTTTAAACTGATGTTCCCTCACCCTGCACACTTTCCTAGGTTAGGTGTTTCAGTCAATCGCACATGTATTATAATCTCATTACAATGCCACAGCTGTCTTTGTATGTGTAACTTACTTGAAATTTGATTTTCTGAAAGAAAGGAACACCATAGTTAAAGAGCATCTGCCTTGCACTTTCGTTTCTGCTGCCCATACCTAATATAAATGGTTCTTTAAGGGATGTGCTGTTTAGTACCCTTGTAAGTAATCCTTAATTTAGATTACTTATTGTTGACTTTGTAAAATTCTTAAAATATATTGCCTTTTTAAAAATTGCATCAGTAAATGATACTGGATTCTTTAAAATAGAATTTGAACTGTGCAAGGCAGAGGGAAAAACAATTTTGAGAGTGGTGTATACAGCCCTTCCTGGAATTTAGTAGCCTGAGTGCTGTGTGTGGGGAAAAATAAATTTAATCCTTTCAGTGGAATAGGAAGTACTGGACCTCTGTTTACGCTCTATTCAGCCTATTGCAATAGTAGGAAGCTTCTGTGGAAACATTAGATTTTGTCCATTTTGGCCTGGGATTGTCTAGTTGCCTCTACAGGTTCTGCAAATCTCACACTAAATAACTGAAATTGAATCTTTTCTTTCCTTTGAGGTCGCTATGCGCTGCAAGTAATAAAGCAAATGGAACCACAAGTAAAGCAAACACTGCAATCTCTGCCAAAAACGGTGAGTTTGTTTTTAATTCAATATTCTTTTGCAGCAATATCATCATCTTTGCTTACCATGGGACATGAGAGAGAAACAGTTCAATGCATAGGAATATGAGATCCCAAATTTGCCCGTTATAAGCCTTATGCTTATTACGGTGTGCAAATTAATTAAAAATAATTGCTGAGTTTTGTAGAAATATTTTTGTCTCAATGCTAGGAAAAAAATGGATTAGTTGGTAATAATGAACTAAGCCACGTGGGAGGACATTAAAAGAAATAAATTGTGTCACCTCTTCTACTTCTTGGCAATGTTGTATGTAATTGGATGATGTATTTTTTTCTATTTGCCACAATTGAGTGATGTGCATCTTTAATTTCTTATTGGTAGCATTGCATAATGCTTTCATAATAACAATATTTTATTTTCAGGCCTTCAGTGGTTATTACAGAGGTGGATTCGAAAGCAAAATGAACAAGCGGGAAGCTGCCTTAATATTAGGAGTGAGGTAAAATTAAAATTAAAAATCACAATATTTTCCAGGAAAAAGTGCATAAGAAAAGAATGGGAAACATGTTAGGTGGCGTAATTTTTGTAGCTATGATTTGAATAGTAAAAAGCTTATGGTAATCTTTTTACATCATACAGGCTGTAACTCTGATCAGAACATAACAGCCAATTTTATGTTCAGTATTGTTAATGACAAGGTCTCCAAGATATTGAATGGACATAGGGTGGATGCAAAATTTTCAGATCACTCTAGAACAGAGGTAGCATTTAGACTTATATAATATTTAGAGCCATGGTGATAGAGTGGTAAGAATGCAGTATTGCAGGCTAATTCTGCCGACTGTCAGTAGTTTGAGACTGACCAGCTCAAGGTTGACTCAGCCTTCCATCCTTTTGAGGTTAATAAAATGAGGACCCCCAGATTGTTAGCGGCAACATGCTGACTCTGTAAACTGCTTAGAGTGTCAGCATATTTCCTCCCAACAATCAGGGTCCTCATTTTATCGACCTCAGAAAGATATGGAAAGCTGAATCAACTTTGATCTGGTCAGGATCAAACTCCTGGGAGTGGGAAGACTTAGCCTATAATACAGTATTCTAACCCACTGCATCACCACAGCTCTATAAAATTTTGAATGCTGTTTTATCAAGCAAACAGATTTGTCACATTTAAACTTCACTCAGCCAATTAAGCAAAGAAGTTCAATAACTGGGTGGTGTAATGAGGGGTCTGGTTTTTTTACTATCCTAATAAGACAATGGGGGAGGGGAGGGAATAAGTTTATTTGTATGCATAATTGCAAAACAATCATAATAAGCCATTTCTGTTTGTTGCTGGATTATCACAAAAATATAACATGCAGCTTGCAAATACGTATGTTAAGCAAACTGTAAAATTCAAAATATCCTAATAGTCATATTGTGAAATGAGGTAGTGAACTGACATAGATGCAGTAATTTGGTTTTTTTAATAATAATCTGGGTGTTTTTTGATATTTTTCCTAGTTATAAATTATCTAATTAAAAAATAAACTGTTAGTCCTACAGCGAACAAAGCAAAAATCAGAGAAGCTCACAGAAGAATCATGCTTTTGAATCATCCTGATAAAGGTAAATCAGAAAATGTTAATATGTTAAATGGCTGTCTTCACCTGACTCATGTAAAATGAGACTCTCCTATAGGGCTGCATGGGAACATTTTAAGAATTGAATTTAGAGATTTTGAGTTCTGTTTTCCTATTTTTTTTATTTGAAAGTTGTGCATGCACACGAGGGGAAAACTAGAATTTTCTGATAAAATTCTATAGCCTGGCAAGCTATTGTTTCATTATCACTGCTGATGTAGTTAAGTGTTTTTGTATGTGGACCGTTTGATTATTGAAATGACTAAAATGTTTTATTATTTTGAATATTCAGTTCACTGATCACATTTATTTCATTTACCAGAATAATGGAATAATTTCTGTCTTGTGAACATGACAACCATATTTTCCTCTTTACCAGGTGGGTCTCCCTATGTTGCAGCCAAAATTAATGAAGCTAAGGATTTACTGGAAAGTCAAGCTAAGAAATGAGAACTCATCACTGACTTTAACAATTAGAATATATTTTCAAAATAGCCCAAAGACAAATGAAGCTGTCATACATGCCAAAAGGAAATCGTTTTGATGTAGGGCACATCCTTCTCTCTGGTTATTTTCAGAAATTAATGTCAACTACAACTTCTGATGCACTTCTAATGAAGTGCAAGCTTTGTACAGAACCCATTAATCAGATAGTAATATCTGAAATTCAGAGTTATCATTTTAGATTAAAAAATTAGCAGGATAAATATGAACATCCAAGATTCTGCTGAAAACACCTGTGGGGTTTAATAATATTTTGAAGTAATTTATTTCTCAGCTGAGAACAGCTGTATTATTTTATCATAGAATTATGGTGCAGTATTCTTCAAAAATGATTTTTATTACCATGATTGCTGAGCAATAAAATTCATACAGTATTTCTTTATATGTGCATAAGAAAGTGTTGTTATAGTACAGTTGCTCTTGTAAGCTGGTCTATACCTTCCTGCTGGTTAAACAACCATTCATGAGCGAGATCCAAGTTGGTAGTCTCCAACTTTCTAATATGAGCATTTAAAACGAGTTTTCAATTCTTCATACCAAGAAAAGCTTAGATTTATTTCTAAATAATGGCTCCTGCCTTTGTGAACATTTGAAGATGATTAAAATGGGAAAGAACTAGGCTTGAAATTGTCATGGATTTAAAAAATCCAAGTATTAAGCGTGGTGAATAATGTTCTTTCCTGTGTCTTAAATGTAAGGTAGAATTTTCCCCACTTTAAATGTAGAGGGGAAAAAAGAGTTCTACGGCTTTTTAATTGATTTTTGTGGCTTCTAAAATACTGTTCAATTTATGTTACAAAGCATGTTGCTCAACCTATTCTGGAACCTGTATGCTTTTTTTCACTTTTCTTTATCTTGGAGGTTGCCTAATTTGTTACCCAGATCAACTGGAGTTGCTTGGTCCATAATTGAATCTAATTAGAGCAAGAAGCTCTTGGAATTCTACATTTGAGTGAGTAGTTTGGGGAATTTTTATGTGGGACTTTAGGGAAGGGTATGAAGTACTTGGAAATGGCAGATTTATCTAGAGAGGATTATATTATTATATTCTACATTTTAGGCAGAATTCAAGACACAGCATCAACAGTCATAAATATAAATACTGGAAATTATAGATTTCTTCCCAAAGGGATCTGGATAAATTTAGGAAGCAATGTAAAACAGGCCATCTGGAGCAATTTTGACTTTTTCCTGGTACCATGTTCTGTCACTTGTAGTATGGATATTGTATTTGCCTACCTGGACAATAGGAAGAAATATATAGGAAGAAATACAACTACAGAAAACGTGAACAAACTATCTCCAGTAATTTAGGAAGGGTGGAAGAAGACAATAGTTCTGTGAAAGAGCACATGAAAATGGGGAGACATGGCAACCATTAGGAGAATGGAAGAATATTACCCATAAGATCAAAGGATAACACACTAAACCAGTGGTCCCCAACCTTTCCAGCTTGGTGGTGGGTGGCTAGGTGAGAACCTCCATAATTTTAAGGTAGCAGAAAGGTGGCAATTCAAAGTAGTTATCTTAATGGATCACTAGCAGATTGTGCTAATAGAAATATAATCATTTTTCCAATAAAATGTTACTAGGAATCTTAAAAACCCATTGTTGCAAGCATAGTATTTCAACCAAGTTACATTTGAAATAGAGACCATTTATAGTTGAGACATTAAGAAGGAAGTTGGCAAGAACGTATTGAAGCAGAATTAAATGATAAGACAGAAGATAGAAGTCCAAACTCTAGAAGGAAGTGTTGAAAGAAGTTGACATCCTTACCCTGAAGAAATCTAGGAGATATTATAGTGATTTTAAATAAAAAGAAATGTTTCACAAATTTGTTAGCATAAGTGAACTCTCCCTTTCCAGAATAATTGTCACCAGTTTTCTGCATGGTATAAACATTAAATACTTTGGATTTTTTTAAAAAACACATCAGAGGGTCATGGGCAGGATACACCAATTCTTACAAAGGACAAAAAAAAAACAACCATGAATAAAATAAAGACAATGAGAAGTAGTAGTAGTAGTAGTAGTAGTAGTAGTAGTAGTAGTAGTAGTAGTAGTAGTAGTAGTAATATCCCAGATGGCAGTGAGCAGGCTTTTGAAATTACAGTGGCATTGACAAGAATATGGCAGGAACTGCAAGGCAGCCACAGGGAATGCTAAGGAATAAGTATGACCCCAAAGCTAAACTTTTCTTAATCTACAGGGGAGAGGCTTGGTTCTAGGACTTAGTTCTAATTTTGTCTCCTTGAAAAAAGATGATTTCCCTCTCCAAAAGCAATGCATTCTGTGTGCTACATCAGCAATGAAGTCAGACTTGCTCTTGAGATAAAATGATATGGGATATCTAATTAGAATGCCAGGATTTTTAGGGTCAAATTTTAAATTGGGGAGAGAATCCATTTGTGAATTGAATTTTACCATTTTCCCCTAAATTGTCCTATTACTGGTTTCTATGCAATAACCAGTAAAAAGGAAAGACATTTAGATCTGCAAGTTAAATGAGGAACAATGTTGCCAGCTACAAAAACCTTTCAGAAAATGACATTAATATACTCTTTCATTCAAAGGCAATGCCTCCATGAGAACTTGTGTCCAACCCTTGTATAACAAATTAATAACTAGCAAATGTTTAAGGATCAACCAATGGAAGATCAAGGTTTATTTTTCTACCAGCATACAAAAACATATTGCACATCAAACAACCAAAAATAAAAATACTCTAAGGACTAACATATGTAGTTTATACAGAATAAACTTTCTGGAAATTGATCTTTTCAGTAGTTCTGGTTATCTTAATGGACATGACTAATTCAGAATTAAGTGTTTTAACTAAAGCTATGTTTGATTTTTAAATACTGTACAGTTTAATAAATAAATCAAACAAAGCCTCAATGCAGAACAGTCATTGCCAATGTCACCCAATATCCCTGCAGATTGAGAATTTAATAAATGTATTCCAGTGGTCTGCAGTTTTCCCCCACTACATACAGCATTTAAAAAACATGTATTAAAACAGACCAGTTTCCAGACTAAACTAATGGAGAAATTACAATTCAGTGCAAAATATTTTAGACTGCATTTTTTTTTCTAGTTTTCCCTCAGGTGAAGAAGTGGTTGCATATTATTAAAAATGTAATAAAAGCAGCTAATGCTTTCATAAAGTAGGTTATGTTAGGGATTTCCCCCCACACATCTGTCATATTTTGAAAACAAAATAACGTTTCCTATAGCCAGCAATTTGTTTTTATTTAAATGTTACATATACTATTCTCAAGGCACATCTGATGATATTTATAACACAGTAGGTGTCAAAGTATGTTCAACATTGGATTTTTTTTCAGGATCCCTCCCTGTTGTTTTCCAAAATGGAGGAACTGAAAGTGCGATGTCAAGATTCGCAATCCATATTCTATCTTTGGCAAGCTTATACAAGCACTATTGTAAAATGTAATGTAAAAGAACTGTAAACTAGGAACTCTTGTTTATGAAACACCATTCAACACAGCTTCTTCCTGTTTATTTCCGTCTTCTTGTATAGTACTAGGCTTTTCTTCAGGACTATGTTGCTGCTTGGAAGATTCAGTCCCAGAAACCACTGCCGGGCCATTTACTGCTTTTTCAGAAAGGCCAACCTCTTCGATCACATCTTTCACCTTTTAAACGGGGGGAAAAAATAAGACTCGGTGACGAGAGAACTGTCAATCATTACAGCATAATTAATACACCCCCCACTCCAATTTCAGACTTCATAAGAAAATCCACAGAAGGTATTAATTTTAGAAAGATGATTAGATGAACATTTTACGTGTAATAGTGGATGTTACACCCAGTTATCTGTAGTACCTATGTATTTAAATCATTCCTAAAATCCAGTTGAAAACACTGTCAAATGAACAAGGTAGGTAATTATCTCTAGACATAAGCTACATTCTTGCCTTAGGCGGCCATTCTTAGAAAGCTGGAGAATATGATTAGGGCAAGGTATTCTTAACAGAAGTTGTCTAAATTGGCTAATAAATTTGTAACATATAATTTTCCTATTTTCATAGAGCCCTCCAAATTGGCAAACTTTTTTCAGCACCTAGAGAGAGATGTAGTAGTTTACATAATCTTTGAAGTAAATTCATAAATAGGTACTATGTATAGATAAAAGTTTTCCCTATCCAGTCGTGTCCAACTTTGTTAGCCAAGGGAGCCAGCCAGCATTGTCCAAAGACTTTTCCAGCATGACATCATACCGCAACACAGAATGTATGAAAAAAAAACACGGAACACTATTACCTTCCCACCAAAGTGGTAGCTATTTATTTACAAGCTCGCTCTGTCATGTCCTGAACCCAGGCTGCTGGTTTTCCAGCTGACAAGCTTGGCTTCTAAACCACTGAGCCACTGTGACCCCTCTAGCTAGGTATTAGTTTGTACTTTTATTGTTTCTTACCGTTTCCTTCTTGTTTTTACCCAGTGTTTCCTTTGGGAGGTTTCTTTGTCTACTCTGAGATTCTGCTCTTGATATATAATCAGCAACTGTAACTGTGAGGAAAGAGATTTTCAGGCTTTTACGTTTAGGAAACATCCAACTGTTGGTTAACAATCCAAAAGGATAAATCATGTTTATCCTTTTACGTTCCAAGGCTCATATTATACAAATTCAGTCATCTTTTGAAGCCCTCCAAAATAAGAAAGACCTAATGGTTAATCCTGGTTTCATGCAGCTAATTTAAATTAAATCCATATTGACCTGTTTTTGCTTTTTTTTGGTCAGTTTCAAAATATTTTTGCCTTATTATCAAGAGAGAACTCTACAACTTTCCTAAGGGGGGGGGGGGGCAAGGTATATTTAAAGGTATTGAAGATTTGAAAGATGGTCCAGATTTTGAAAAGAAACCTGGGAAATGATTTTAAAAAAACATGCTTTAATCCAAACTGGTGAGAGACTTGAGGCAGATGGATACAGAGCCCAAATCTTTTTGAGGATGTTCTTCGATTTAGGAACATTTTTTCTGAAGTGAGAAATATGAAAAATTGAAGGGGTATTAATATCCCACCTTAGCCATGAAAGCCAGCTGGGTTTGGCCAATCCCGAGGTGGCACAGTGGTTAAATGCAGCACTGCAGGCTACTTCAGCTTTCTGCAGTTCTGCAGTTCAAATCTCACCAGCTCAGGGTTGACTCAGCCTTCCATCCTTTCGAGGTGGGTAAAATGAGGACCCGGATTGTTGTTGGGGGCAATATGCTGACTCTAAACCGCTTAGAGAGGGCTGAAAGCCCTATGAAGCAGTATATAAGTCTAACTGCTATTGCAGGATTGCTGTGAGAAAAAAAAGAGGAAGACCACACGTTTATTTAATTTATTGGCCACTCAACTTACCATAGGGTAACTGGGTCACTTACAATGTTAAAAGGATAAAACACTACAAATCCTATACTCAATACAAATAAAATACTATAAAAATATACTCAACCCTCACTAAAAGATTGGGAAGGAGGGAACAGGATAAGTTTTTGGGGGGAGGCGGGATCTCTTATTTATCAGCCACCCCCCTCCCCATTGGAGCCCCAAGCCAATTGGTGGAGTCAGGTCTCTGGCAGAACATCGGGCAGGTTGGAGCCAACCTCAGCACCTTAAGTGATTGATAGAAACAATTGAAGGCAGGATATTGATACAAATCTTAAAATAGTAAATGCTTTTCTTTTGGAGAAAAGTATTCTTAGGTCAGGAAGTACTTTGGCTCATTGTTTCATTTTGACTCCATATAGCAACTATATTTTCCAATATAGTTTATTGGAAAAGAATTGGGGGAAGAAGTATTAAAATGATTTGTGCGTGATGAACACGGTGTAACGAATAAAGAAATTCACCATATGGCCAAAATTGTGCAGCATATCTGAAAATACTTCCCAGCGGTGGCTGTCATCCCTCTCAGAATTTAAGATTAATTGATCAAAAAACATACTGCCTTAATTTGCTAAGGATCCCTACGGGTGCAATATTTCTGATTACTATATTTCTCCAGTGAAGTCATACTGCAGTTCTCCAGAATTAAAGTGAAACAATCAGAAGCAAATTGAGAAAGCAATTTTTAATTATCCATCAAAGGATTTTTGTGGTTAACTGATCAATATCATGTGTCTATTATTCTATAGCATTTTGTGGTGTGAAATCCATTTCCTTTCATTTTTAATTGTACTCAACTGTTCATAAGCCTTTGAACTCTACAGAAAGAGGACACGCTAATATTCTGGAACTTGTTTAGCAAATGCAAGATGTTTACAAATGCAACAAACATGGATTGTTCTGGAAACTAAAATCTGCACTTTTAAGTTGTTAGTACATATTTAAAGATGCATCAAACCACAATGGCAGACAGAACATGCAACTATTTTTTGCTTTTACAGCAGTTGTGTGATTTCTGTTGTCCTTGAAATGCTTATCATATTGATTCAAAATATGAGACAGGCAAATACCATGCAAGTCACGTCATGTTTTATTGCAGCACTAATAAGCTGGCCAACATTCCTACTAACAAGTAGTTGCCAGAAATGAGCCTCACCGAGCAGTGTTGCTTTCATTATGGCATATATTTCCATTCTGACATCTACAAATCATTCCATTTTAATGATGCTTACACTGGGAGCATGACCAGTTTATAAGACACTAATGTTAGTTACTGGAAGATGAGTAACTAGTAATTTCTCAGCCTGTAGTCTTAGTTATTAAGTAATTAATATTTACAAAAGGCACTTCACACGCTTCAAAGGTACACAAACAGACATGGAGCATTCCTTCATGCTTGTGACCTGAGGTGGGCCACCTTTCCACTTAAGTTACCTGGCTGTCTATCTTCTGCCTGACCCCTGAAGCGACGCCTGCGACTACGGTTGCGTCGCTGGGGTTTTTTTTCTCTATCATCTGCAATTGCAAAGTTGAGGCATGAACCATTTTACAGATGGTTTTTTTTTCTCAGCACAAAGCAGAAAGAAAAAGCCCCATTTCACCCTTCCAAGTGGAGTAGCAACAGTATAAGACCATGTTTAAATTGGCATTAATTTATGTTGATACCAAAAGATAAAACACTGGTTCAAGGAATCATTTCCCCGTCTTATTAGAAATGTTTCTCCTTGATGAACTTTGCATAAACTATTATCACAAAATGGCAGTTACAGAATGCCGAGAGACACCTACCCGCAAAGAAGTCCTACTGACTTCAATTATTTTTAATTCTGTTAGTTCCGCAAATTTAAGCAACAAAATCACTCGGGCCCTACCAAAGATAAAATGGATGTTACGTTTACATTTATTTATTTTAAATGGGATTTTAAAATCTTCCAAGACTAAATCAACTTTACATTTCATGGTAGGTACAAAATGGATACTTGCTTGTTGAGATTTGGAACAAATGCTCTGTTTTTCTAACACGGTGTAAAATCGGTTCAAACCAGAAGGATTTTAATGCAATTATAAGAACATAGCCTCAAATATTCTGGTTACATGGAAGTAACATCTTTAATTATGCAAACAGTTAACATTATATTAAATTACAATTAGAGTGGTGACGATGAAAATGTAGAGTAATTGACTGTAATAGCACATTACAATTATACAAGTTTATGGGTATGAACCTCTTCGGTTTTGTTACAAGTGATTTACATACCTAAGCCATTTTCATTAACTGACGCCGTGTCAGATTCTGTCATGCCATCCATTAAGGAAGCATCTTCATCAGTCCTCCGTCTGCGAGATCGCCTGCGTCGGTTCGTGGTGTGATGCGATTCGCTTGCATCAGTATCTGCAGTCTGATCAGACTCTGTGTTATCCAGTAAGCTATAAGGATTGCTGTCTGGATCTTTCAGCACTAAAGTAATGACAGGGAAAAAAAAACCCCACAAAGGCCAGAAGTGGCACATAAATTTGTGTTGTTTTCATCTACCATTTTAAACAAAATGTTACGAGGGTAGCCAAGTACAAAGTAATCTAATCCCAAACACGCATACTAATATGGCAAGCAACGTGGGAAAAATCTGAAACGTTCTTGAGAACTTGAGAATATTGCTCTTGAAAGGGAAACAAAAGCTACAGAGTAGATGGCTTTGGAGGTTGTAAAGATCAAGGCCATTGCTTTAATTCCATCCTCCAGAAAATCCCAGAGACAATTTGTTTTTTATTCATCTTCTCAGGTAAATAGACATAAATTTCTGTCTCTTTCTGGCGTTCTTCAAATTAGGATAGAAATAAAGAGGGAAGAATAAGCACATCATAGCTACTGGAATTCTTTCCAGTAGTGTTTATATGAGATATTTATGAGATATTGGAAAATACAAGCAGGCTGCTTCAACTTAGGGTTTGTGAACAGGAGACATTTCTTTGAATACAGAAATGGATAATATCCTAAAGCAGCTGCCCAACTGTCTCCCAATGACGGGAAATTTTCTTGGAGTGTTATTCTCCACAGCCCCAGTCTATTTTCAAACTTGATATTTCCTTTCCTCAATTGTCTCACAATATTAGCTTTGGTCCTGTTTGGTTAAGTTTTCAGAGTCATCCCACTGAGAGACTGATATAAATGACTTTGAACCCCTTTATATAATTTCTTTCCAACAGTCCATTGGATGAGAAAAAATAAAATGGCAACACAAAAGCATTCAAAATTTAATAACCTCAGTGAATCAAGGCCAAGGCCTATCTTCTTATGGCAATTGAGAAAGTACTCTGGCATGCTTGAAGCAGGTACAGAAATTCCCGTGGTTGTTCACTGGGAGCATGTTACCCCCAACTCAGAAATAACACTGAATGTTTCAAGCTTTTTTTTTTAACCAGCATGCTCATCTAGGTTCCTCTTAAAACTCATGGTCCTACCACAAGTAGTTCGGACTGGTTGCTTAGCAAATAGCTAATAACCCCGATTAATGACTCTATTAACCCGCTTGCAACATTGTCCTTATCTCTTAGAATATTTTCTGAAATACCTACAACTTTCCAAATCAGATCAGAAGGTGCTCAGGATCGACCTGATTTTCCCCAGGGATTAATTTAAAAGCTTTTCTGCTATTGCTTTTCGTGTTATGCAGCGGTAGACCTCGCAATCTGAATTTGGCCTTCCGGATTAGAGAATCCCATGGCCCAACACCAGTGACGTCAACATGGCCTCCCCACCACCACTATTTAGCAACCTATCCTGTTTGGCTGAGATGAAAAATGTGGAGCTCTCTAAAGAATTATTTACATCTAATTACTTTGTGAATTGAGATAATGAACTTGAAAATGATAGCAGTAGAACTTTCTGGTATAAGTTTGAAACGTGTTCTCCATACCAGAACTGATAGATGACTTCCCACCTCGCGGTCCACCTCGGCCCCGACCCCCAGAAACACTACGTCTTCCTCCTGGTGGGCGCCTTCGGCTGTCGCGCTGGTGTAGGACCTCCCTATCTTCATCCCCTGCTAGTGACCAATCACTCAGTTCGTCTTTTCTTTCTGATTCTGTCTCAGAGGGATTAGATAGCTCAGAATTTGTTCCTTTAGGAAGAAAATGGGAACCAAAAGAATACAAGCATGAATCAGCAAAATACTTATAAGGATCTGAATCATTTCAAAGGCACAAAGAAATACCAAACTCTAACAGGCATTTGGATTTACTGGTTTTTAAGGAGGAAATTACTATTTGCAAACTGTATACCTAATATCAGGACACTTATTGTAGTTGGTGGAACTTAATCCAAAAGGTAGACTAGATGTATTAGACGAGATCCAAATTAGAAAACAGATGATGTTAAGAGAGATCAAAAGTATATGAAGACAGTTAAGAGCCAACATATTTTAAAGTCTACTGCATTTAAGGAATGAGTCCTAGCTGTTTGTTAACTATGTGATACTGTTAGTGGGAAAAATGCTCCCAAAACAAAATCCACAAAGAATCACACATAAGAGCCATGTGTTCTACAGCAGATGATGATGTACTCTGGATGGGCGAAACGGGGGAGCGATATCACTTTTAATAAAAGGTGGCCTGATTTGGTAAAATTTCATTTTCTGTCATGCACAATACATATTTTGAGATAATGAACCAGTGATCATTATTCATTATATTTCTGCTTCCAAACTTGCACTTTTTTCCTGAAATGTATGCAGAAAAGAAGAGAAAACCCAAGCAAAATTGTTCATTAATCATAGTTCCAAGATCCATTAGAAATTTTCAGACCAAACTACCATTCCCGATAGCTTCATGACAATGGGGATTCATTTACATACCGTGTTTCCCCCAAAATAAGACAGGGTCTTATTTTCTTTTCACCCACAAAATATGGCTTTGGCCTGATTATCAGGGGAGGGCTTATTGTTTTGGGGTTGCTGGGCAGCTGCTCTCTTGCGAGCGGGCTCCCGAACGGCTGTGTTGCACTGCCGCAGCAGCAGTTCATAGCAGCCATGAGGTGACCATGCTTACAAGCAGCCGCCCGGCAACCTCCCTTTCCAGCTGGGCACAGCACCATTCACTGACCTATGGATATCGCCAAGCCGCAT